ATGACCGGGACACCGTCACAACACGACCGGGACACCATCAAAACATGCCCGGGACACCATCACAACATGACGGGGACACCATCACAACATGACCGGGACACCTTCAAAACATGACCGGGACACCATCACAACATGACCGGGACACCATCAAAACATGACCGGGACACCATCAAAACAGGACCGGGACACCATCACAACATGATTGGGTCACAATCAAAACATGATCGGGACACCATCAAAACATGACCGGGACACCAGCATCACATGACCCGGACGCCATCAAAACATGACCGGGACACCATCCGCCCACCAGCTCTGACGGTGACCCGACGGCGCCCGTCCGCCTATTAGTTTTGCAAGACCCCATAGCATGGCTATTGGGGAACAACCTTCTGCGCCCCGAAATGTCCGCGCGCTCAGTGGTTTCGATCAAAGTGTCCACCCGCCTGTGGCATCCTCTCACCCTGGGAGATGAGTCACAGGCCGACCCAAACGAAAGCAGCTCTAGATTTACATGCATCTCTCTACGAAGAGGAGCATGTTCACACCTGACCTCTTGGCTTTGTTTTATCATTTCCATACAAACGAAAGCCAGATTCGGTCACCTGATGATCTCTGAGAGCGCAACAGGGCCATCAACCCACTGGTATCCCTGGCACAAACATCTGAGTTGGATCGAGGCCTACTTTTGGAGGGTTCTTTGGCTCAATGACGGCTCTGCAATGAGAGAGGGTCTTTGGATCACCATGATCACTCTCTCGCTCTGTGGTTTCCAGGTCGTCCTTGCGTTTGCATCCCCTGAACGCCGCGGCAGCGAATTTTCCTTCACAGGGCCTCATGCTGTAGGCCGTCTAAGCCCAATCTAAGCCATCTGAGAGGAATCCACACCCAGCTTGCAGGATTCACCGGCCTTCGGCCTTTGTTGCTCACCAGAATCCCAGACAATACAGCGCTTTGTGTCAAACAAAGCCCGAGCCCCAACCCAGTGACAACGTGCAAAACATAGGAACGTCCCTCAACTGACAATACCTGCCATATCCTCCGAATCTTCCAGGGCTGGGGCTTGCAGGATGTGGTGGAACCAAAGCATCAAAGCATTCACGTGGATTCTTCTCAGCACAAAGTGAGAAACTCCCAACATCTATGGAGTCGAAGGCTCTGCTGTTTTCAACTGAGCCCGGCTATCACCCATCGAAACATGCGCGGAGTCGAAGCCTCAGGGCGCCGATTGTGAACGTTCGGTGCCGAACCCAAGGCGCGACCAAGTACCCAGCGGTTCGAAATTTTGGCCACGGTGGTCATCTTTGGTAAAGAAGGGTAGCAGGCTTGGAAAACCACGCCATGATATACAATGATCTCAAAGTACTATAGAGAAGACTCTGAGACTGTCAGCAGACACAAAACAAAGAGTTGAAAAAGAAACTTGGAGATGCTACATCTTTGCACTCTCATCTCTCAAAATTCAATTCTGAGTCTTCATGGCAGTTCTATCCAACAATGTTGGTGCTTCCTTTCCAAACACGCCTTCCCCTGTCCCTTTTTTTCCACCCTTCCCCTTCCCTTCCACTGTTCTTGGAACTCGGCAGGACTAGTGTGTCAGGCCCTGCGGAAAAGTGACTGGTCAGCAGGTGAGCGTCCAGCAGGCAAACCCAAAACAGCGATGATGCTTTGAACAAATTCTTTGGTTCAGGGGTCCCTTTCTCACCGAGGAACTGCCCAGATTGATCAGGAGGCCTCGCGTGATTCCAAGTCCAATCAACCATGGATGTAAAGGGGGGCAATGATGGAAGAGGAGCTCCTTGGCCAAGTGTTCTGGTCTATATATATTGGTTGAAGTGCACATTGTTTGGTCGCACGACGAAGCAGGCATTCTGATGGCCTGGTTAAGTCTTAACTAATTTGGGAACCTGAGCGATTTAGACACCCCTGCATAAGTGGTGGTGAAGGTGGAGTAGAAAAGGTTGCAGTTGGTACCCCTCTGTTCCAAGATCCAGGCCAAAAAGCACGTCGAAGATCTTCACAGAAATTCAGAATAGACTCTGAACATGATGAGACGGCTTCAGCTTTTTCAGCAGCCCAACCCGCCCAACCCTCACCTCCTGCAATCGCTCTGATGCGCCACACAGGCCGCGCACCTCTCTATCTTGCTCATTGGCAAAAGTACTGGGCTCCGCCACCTGCTGGGCACATGCAACACGAGGCTGGTAGGTCGTGTAGGTCATCTTGTTTAAAGTGGTTTGGGGTTGCTTCGCCACGCTGCCCGGCGCACCCGCATGGGCACATCTCCAATCGCTGAGCTCGGAGCAGATCCTGGAGGGCAATGATGCTGATGCAAAATCCAAAGAGACATCAGGACAAAAATGCAAAACAAAGCCAAGGCCAAGTTGAGTCTTCTCAAACTTCCTCAGAACTTATCTGAGCCATGGTCAAAACTAGTTGCACGGCCTATTCTTGCCTAGCGATGTCGAGACTTCCCTATCGTTTTTACCGGCAACGGATGTTCGGACAAGGGCACAACACACCTATAGCTAGTGAAAGAGACCCGCGTCAGTTTACATGCACTGCAAGAGAGCTCTTGGACAAGTCTTTGTGCCTAAACTGGGAGAGTGGCTTCCCATACAATACCGAGCTATCATGCAGCTACCTTTCGTTTATGATTCTAGGCACGCTCACACACTGCCACAATTCCAGAAGCCGAGTAAGTCACAAACATAGGCTATCATTTTCTGTGGGTCCCCTATCATTCTCAAGGGTTTTGAGAACTTCCACAAAACAAGACATCCAAAAGGAGCTGCTTTTACCAATGAAATTTGAGTGACCCACGGCCAGACCAAGCACACATAGAAGCTTCAAGAAGGCTCTGGGAGGCTCGGAGTGGCTCAAATCTCGGGTCACTCTGATCGCCACGGGACAAACTGCACTTGAAAGCTCCTGCTAGACAGGTCAATTTGTTGGAGTAACAATACATATGTTCTGGGTGCTTTCATCTCGGCTGAATACAAAACACTGGATCCACGAGCACCACACCACACCACAACCCCTCCTGGAGTTTTACACGAGGGCTTCTTCGACCTCGATTGGAGCTTTACACAGCTCCCAATCTCAAAGGCCTACGGGGAAATTGATTGCATAGCCTGGCGATTCTCATTGACCCCTGGATACCACAACAATCTCCAAACACATCTTTTTCGCAGCTCCCAAAACCGCGGTCAGGTTTCGGCCTCCAGTTGTGAAAAGAAAGGGGTGCCTCCAATGCGCGTTTGTTGTCGGACTCAAAGTGACGGGATCCACACCATGGCCGACGAAGCAGCACCCTCTGAGAGGCCCAGCAAGACACCATAGGCCTGCTCTTGGCCAGGAAATTGTGTGACCACCTGAGCAAAGCGGCAAAACAGGACCCATGTGTCCACCTGACATGTAGAGGAGTGTGAACTTTAGTGCTGCTCATGCACAAATCCTGCACGGCATGGACATCATTATATATATATATATAGTTGTGGAAGACTGTCAAGTTGCCTTCAGTTCGTGTGACAGTGAAGCCCCCTGCATGTTGTGTGGCGTTCCCACCCGTCTGCCTTTGCCTTCAAACCTCAAGAGAGTGCCTTTGCGAGAAAGCCTTTTTCATGCCGTCTCCTATGGGTCTCCTTCATCTCTTTTCCTGGGGCGATCACGGGACTGTTGGAGAGGCCTCGGGCAATCACAAACAAACAAAGCCATGAAGCGCATGTGGAGATCATCAAATCACATGGTCTATCCGATTATCCTTCAGCTCCTTCCTCCCCTCGAACGGAAACTCCACCCCCCAACAGCTCCGACTCCCTGGACAGCAAAACTCGCGGGGCCTTTGTGCCTTTGCCCTGCACCATTCATTGACCAGGGCGCCTGCGACCAAAACCGAGAGACACGCAGTCCACCACGCACCGCGACGCACCGCGACGCACCACGACGCACCACGCAACACGCAACACGGACCGAATGACGCAATGATCCCTGTGCCTTGGCCGTCTTTTTAAACGGAAATCCCGACAAACGGTTAGCTTCCCTCGTGTTTTAGGGGTCACACCAGTCAAGAGAAAGAAACAAGTTCATTGGGTTCGCGGGGTTCCGGCCAATCGGGCGCTGAACCATCGCTATGTTCGCGGAAACGGGTCGTGTTCACCGTGGTGCCTGCGGTGCCCGGTGTGGCGTCGGCGAGAGTTGCGACACCGGCTTTCGTAGGTCCTCCGGCAGAGTTGGAGCCTTTCCAGTTGAAATAAAGTGGTTACCCTATAGAATTATATACAAACCAGGCAGAAATCTATAACAAAAAACACCGAGGAGCAGAGCCTAACGTTAGCTGTCCTGGCTCGGCCGTAAAATGTCTGCATGCCAAGTCGAGCCTGACAGACAATGATTCTGAGAAAGAAACGCTGGTCTTGGGAACATCAAAAGTCGGGGAGCAGCTGAGCATTGTCCACAAATTCAAACCATTTGGACCTACCCCAACAAAAAAGCAAACTCGGCCAGCCTGGCACTGGGGGGCCGCCAAAGGCATGCTTCTCGCAACCTGCACCCCACACGAGGACACTAATATCCACAGTTCAACACAGGTGTCTTTTTGTTGAAGTGTGGAACTCGAAGGACCACCAGGAGAAACTCAACACCTTTGGTTCTTTTGGAAACCAATTTGAAGTCAACTTGTGACGATTTTGTCTTCTCACATCGTGAGGCATCCCGCTCACGCCTCGAATTTCTTCGACACCCTGAGCACCGCCGAACCCACCGGGTTCACCCGCCTGCGTTCTCCGCGGCTCTCAAGGCCTCAACATCCGGGACGTTCGGAAAGTTGGGACCTTTTTCGCAGTCAACCTGTCGATCTGACCCACAAATGAGAGAAGGTCTCCCAGTAAAACGTGAACTAAAGCCACGCAACACAACCATCCCCCCAAACCCAAAAAAAACCGAAGACTCCTCACTTCTCAAAGCAAAAGGTGCAAAAAAAGCAAAAGCACAAAACGCCTCATCCAGGAGCTGCATCGCCCGCGCAGCTTGCTGGTTCCGCTCCTCCAACGTTTGGACCTGTACTGCTCAAACATTCCGGTGGCTCGGAAAAAATTAAAAAACATGCTTCCTAGAATGAGAGATCCATCGAAGCATGTTTCCCCTCCGCGTGTCTGAGGATCTCACTGCGTCGTAGGCGTCAATGAAGGAGGAATCCAAGTGGCGCCTCAGCGTCTTCGGCTCCGGAGTCAAAGACCGAGAACCTACATCTGTCTGTGTTTGTGTTTTTTTGGCATGCCTTTTGCGCTAGGAATCCAAACCCACCAGTCTTCTTTGGTAGGATCACGAAACGCGGTCTATTTGGGGGATCACTAAACCTTCTTTGAGTTGGAAAAGTTTGGAGACTTTAGGCCCAGGCTCATGGTCATCCGCTTTGGAACTAGACTGTGCCTTGGCGACTGAGTAGGTCGAAACTCAAGATGTTGAGTTTGCCCAGTTGGGGCTATTCTCTCTATGCTAGAGGAGTTCGCAGTGATGTTGCTTTGGGAATGCAAAACCACTCGGTTGCGCTTCTCCATTGTTCACTTTTCCCGAAAACACAGGTGAAGGGTTCCCATAAAGAACAGTTGCCAACTTCAACAGTTCCATCATCACCATCATCATCATGATGATCATCATCATCATCATTTTTTCTTTCATACGCTCATCAGTCGATGATTGCGTGGACCCGATTGGTCCCATCTGGCGCCCCGTAGGGCCTGTAGCCTCAGCAACTCAGCTAGACTACGGTCTAGCAGGCTAGCAGAGAGCCCGCCTGCAAACAGTTGACCGCAAAAACCAAATGCTAAAAATGAAAACTGTCTCAAGCACGTACAGCGTGGTCCTCATTGAGGCCAATGCTGAAGGTTTTGCAGCATACCACCTTGGGTGTGCTGCCTTGTGAGATCCCGGCTCAGTCGGCAGGGGTCCCGTAGCCACCCACCATGTCCAGGGCGTCGCAACCAGCTGGGGGTTCCACACAAGATGTGCAAGTCCAGCCGTGCAAGGTCCGGTGTTCATGGTGTCATGAATGATGTGGATCTTTGCCTCCTGGTCAATCAGAATGGTAGTTTCTTCCTCCCAGGCGACCAAGAGAAGCACTGACAGCCTGGTTGTCTCGTGATCACCGTCAGCTTCTTGTTCCTAGTAGTACGGCCAGGAGCCCCTAGTAGCGTCCTTGCTCCTAGTAGCGATGCACTTGTTACTAGTAGCTTCTTGTTCCTAGTAGTACGGACAGGAGCCCCTAGTAGCGTCCTTGCTCCTAGTAGCGATGCACTTGTTACTAGTAGCTTCTTGTTCCTAGTAGTACGGCCAGGAGCCCCAGTCCACCAGATTCCACCGTCCAGGATGGCAGTGCAGTGGTGTCAGTAGTGTCCGATGTTGGCCTCCAAGTCAAGATGAAGAGTGTCACCTCCTTCCCACCATGGCCGGCGCGCCACCTCCGGGTGAGAGGTGGAAGCCCGTGGCCAGCTGCCACATAGGATGCACTTCTCAAGAGTTGTCAACAAACATGTTGGTGTCCAAGATATCCAGCCCAGGCATCCATTGTCCAAACCAGTTGCCGTAATTGGTTTGGGCATAGGTGATGTCCCACACAGTGTCCAGATCCGCCAAGATGGGGGGTTCCTCCTCACTCGGAGTGACCTTCTCGGCACTTCTGGGGGAGTGCAGTGAATCCACCTCAGACAACAATTCGCCTGACCACCAGTGGAAGCGTTGAGAACTTGACCAGGTGCCTCCGTCCATGATGGCAGTGCAGTAGCGGCCACTGGAAACTTCCAAGCCCAGGTGCAAGGGGACACCAAGGACCTGGTAGGGAATGTTGTCAACCTCCACCTGTAGGTCCAAGAAGAGAAGAAACCCAACATCTTCCTGCCTGGAACGGTTGGCCCCCGGACACTGGAAGTACAAGCCACATGGCCAGCTACCATACAGCATGCCCTGTTCCGCTAGCCTTGGACGCAAGCCCTTGATGAACCAGCATCCATTTTGCTAGTGTATTGGACAGTCTCGAATGAACCTGATCTTGTTGTCTCAACTTCCATGTGGGCATGCACCCCATTGAAAGGAATTCCCATAGGGTACAAGTGACCGCCATGCCATGTGGATTCATGAAGAAGAACTGGTTTGAGGGCACTAAGGATGTTTTGCTGGGATGAGGCTGTATGCCATCCAGATGTATCCGTTGAGGTCCTAGGCCACTTGGCTTCGCCGTAATGGGGCATGAAGAGCCTGTGTTGAGATGGCTCCACCGAACCTCGTGGCAGGTCCGGAACCCTCAGGCCACCAGGGTGGATCTAAGGGATTCAAGATCCTCTGGTTGTTCACAAAGTAGGCCATGAGGAGACCTGCAGCGCAATGAACCGGTAGGCCAAGTCCAACCCTGTTCGGGGACTTGGGACCCCGGTGAGCGGAATGTGAAGTCCCCGCGGGCGCCACTGAGCTCGGTGACTTGGGTCTTCGCCAGGTGCTCGTGGAGCTGTTCTTGTAGGTGAAGGTCTCCCATTGGAGCCAGATGTTAAAGACAGTCACCGCCACAAGGAGCAGGATATAGTACCTGAAGAGGTAATCGGGGAGCTCCAGGATGGAGAGTTCGTGTTCTTGGTGTCCCGCAGAATGCTGGGCATAGGTCCTGTAATCGAGGATCTCAATCATCGTGGGATTCTCCTTTGGGTTGCCCATGTGTGCTAAGACGGGTCCGCACCATCCCCCGGTACCGCGGGCAGTGGGGATTGAACCGCTCACGGCCCTTATCATCATCATCACCATCATCATCTTCTTCTTCTTCGTCGTCATCATCATCAAGTTGGAGAGATGCAGACGATGCACATAACTGTTACAACACACCGTTATCATCATTATTATCATCACCATCACGATCATCAATCTCATCGTCGTCACCATCATCAAACAGGTGCAGAGATGCAGGTGATGCACCTGCTACAAACACACCTATATACATAGATACAGGCGTTTGGTTGAGATACAGGTGTTGAGCTACAAGCGAAAGAAACCTGCGGAGATCGTGTGCGTCGAGTCCTCAAACGTGAGGCGGGTGCGAATTTTGTCTGTGCTCTGTGACCCTTTTGCGGAGATCGCGCGCGTCGGAACCTTTTGCGGAGATTGCATGTTGAGTTGCCAAAGTGCAACCATCTTCAAAAATCAAGGTGAAGTTGTCAAATTGTGTAACTGTAACTGTCGTGAAAATGAAGGTGGACGTTGCCAAAGTGTGTAGCTGCCGTCGAAAAATCAAGGTGGAAGTTGTCAAAGTGTGCAACTGTCGTCAAAATGGTGGGCGTCGCGTTGAAAATGAAGGTGGACGTTGCCAGTGTGTGCAACTGTCGTCGAAACAAACTGTCGTCGAAAAGCAGCTTCTGGTAGCTGGCCTCAGAACTGGCAGTATAGGACGAACGTAGTCTCAGAATTGGCAACTTTGCAATACAAATGTAGCACGGAAAGCAGCCTGCAAGGTGTGGCCTCAAGAAGTACTACAAATGCAGTGCGGGCCTGGCTTCGGGAAGGGACAACATTGTCGCGCTAAGGCAGTACGGGAAGCTTACACATCCAGTACGGGACACGCCTTATGGGAGCCTGGTGTTACGTTAAGCGTGTTTGTGTCGCTCTGTGCCATTGGGAAACGACAAGCATGCGTGCGTAAACGCAGAGTGTCGCTGGTGTTACATTAGTGTGTTTAGTCAGTGGCACACCGCGTGGCGAAGTTACGTCTGTGATGTCGCTATGCCATGCGGCCTCGGTGGAAAGTCTGTTTTCGTGGCTCCCCACCATTGGGAAACGAAAAGCACGCGTGCGTAAATGCGGCGTGTAGCTGCAAAGCCGGATGATTGGCGGTGTCAACAAGGCTTGGTGTTACATTGTTGGATCTAGTTAGTGGCGCACAGTGTGGCGAAATTACGTCTATGATGTCGGTGTGCCATGCAGCTTCGCGCCACCTCAGTGGAAAGTGCGTTTGCGTGGCTCCGTGCCATCGGGGAACCGGAAAGATGGGTGCGTAAACGCAGCGTGTCACTAGTCGGGATAATAAGCGGCGGCTTCGTAGAAGAGTGCCCTGCAAAGGTTGCCCCACAAGAATGCCTACAAGAGCGTGCCATTAGAGTGCTCTACAGTGTCCCACGACAAGAGTGTCCTCACAACTGTCTTACACATGTCAAGCAAGAGTGCCAAACAAAGAGTGTCACGCAAGAGTGTCCTACAAGCGTGTTTTACAAGAGTGTCCCACAATGGTGCACTGTCCTACAAGAGCGTCCCTGCTAGAGTGTCGTACCTGAGACCACCACAGGCCCCACATGTATATCTTGAGAGTATCACAGTATCACCTTTACTTTACCTTGGCAATAGTGCCATGGTCCATAATCATCATGGCCGTCGTCGTCATCGTTACGTTGTGTCATCTCCTACTGTGCATACTATGCCCAAGCCTGCTGCGTTCAATGGGCTGCTCTGATGTCACAACAAGGGCATTTCTCAACGGCCACCTACTGTACCACCTAAACACCGGGAGGGCTCTGACTCCTCAACAAGACCTGGCCCTCTTCTTGGAGCACAGCTGCATGCACCACAGCTCCTGCCCCAACAAATGAAGCTCTGACATCAAGCAACTATTTGATGTACACAAATGGTGGAAGCAACAAGAAGGGTTGCGGGTCAAAAGCATAGATTTGGCAAGTGGGTACATAGTAGTATGTATTTAGAGGCACTCATATGTGCGTCCTTCATTTTGTGGACTGCTTGAAGGCAGCCTTAGCTGCAATGCCACACCAACTGCTGGACTGTCAGCAAGCATGCATCATTTTTCACTAGCTTGGGACAGCGCTCTTGGCAAGGAGTGCTCCAAGAGTGGCAAGAGCCTCACAGGCGAAGATGGAAGGATGCAATCAGCGGCAACATCACCCGTCAACCGAAAACTCTTGATGGCTAAGTTACCATTTGGTTCTTTGAAACTTCGCTTACCGAAATGTTGTCATTGGGCCAATCACTGGAAAGCGTACCAAGAAAAAGAGCCCAACATGCAGAAGCAAGTTGTGGCCTCCTGGTTCATGGTTGTTGTTATTGGTTTTGATGTTATTTCCATGCAAGTAAAGGAAAATGCTGGTGTCAAATGCTGGTGATGCATTTCGGTACCACGTCCATGACTTGCATCATGGAGAATTGTAAAGAAGGTCGGGAAGCAACTTGCTTGGTGTGGAAGGCCAAATGGAGTGGAGCATTGAGGTTTTCAAGCAAGATGAGATAGCACAGTGAAGTGCAGCCGGCTCATGCTGCAGATGATGCGGTTGCCTGTTTTCGGAAAGTTCGTTTCAACGTATCGGCGTGGTTCTAGCACCCGTTACCCGGACGTGCTTGAGGTTTGTTGCAGCCCAGAAAGCAGATGCACTTTTTTTCAATAAAGACCATGCAAGGGGGTTTCACAAGTGGTTCAATCATTGCAAAGAATACATGGTGATCATCAATCTGTTGAGAAAACATATGAATATTATTGAATCAGACAACCAGGAAGTATCAAAGTTTGAGAAAGTGAGCTATCGAAGTATGGAACAACTGTTCAGAGAGTACGAAAAGAGCGAGATTCCTAAATTTGGATTTCACAATTTCACGTCATACATTGCTCCAAATGGTTCCATCATGTGTACCATATATATATATATATATACGAGTATAGTTTCCTTCGTTTATTTGCTGGAATGTGATCTGTGTGAAAAATCGAAGTTGGTAATTCTAACTAGGGTTTGGGTGGCTTCCCATCTGAATGACTTGCCTTTCAAAAATGTGGATATTAACTATTATATATCCATTAGACGAGACGTTCGTTCCTCAAATAATCTCAACGAACCAATTCCCTTAACTGTCTCTCCAATGTCTGCCAGTCGGTACTTTGTTGCAGCTGTCTGGTTTTACCCGAAAGTTGTCCCTGTCAACCACTCTCCATCTTGAGCTGCAGCATCTCCCGCACCTGGCCGTGAGCTGGGCCTGGACACCATCCGGGGCGCGCTGTTCAGCCTGGCGGGGACAGATCTGGATCTGACAAATTCAGCGAAGAAGGATGGCTCTCGTGGCAAACAAGTATGGCTGCTACCATCGTGCAAGACTTTGAAGGTAGAAGGAGCATGTCCGTTGATTCATCTGTTTCCAAGGCCAAATCCCACCCAGCAAAAGAGTCCATTAGGGGCTCCTGGCCTTACTACTAGGAGCAAGGACGCTACTAGGGGGTACCGCTTCTGGTGGCACGAGGGGGGTACCTTTCGCCCTCTGAATCTCGCCTCGCTGAGGAGGGGGTGCCAAACCTGCTTTGGTCGGAGAATCGGTGGCCTTTAGCGCACTATAAAGGTTCCAAAGATGATAGGAGAGTGAGAGTGAATCTCCTTTGAACATGTACCATTCTATCGATTCTAGAGTCATGACAGCGTTGTTGTAGCTGGTGTTCATAGTAGTTTTCTGGATGAGACAAAAAGAGACATGTTCACAACCGACAAAAACCTTAGGACCTTTGTCGATTGGTGGAGCTTGTGGATGGATGAACAGGTTTTCTGGGGGGAGTAGCCTTGAAGGGGCTACATGTAACTTTGGAGTTCTACCAAGTTTTGCCTGTGGCTAGTACAGGAAAAAGACGCCCACGTGTGAGTTGAGGTCTCGATTTGGAGAGCAAGCAAAGAAAATGGAGAAACGAAGCCAACGAAGACATGGACTTCCATGGCAGATTGTGTCAATGCCTACCCCAATCGTTGCATCAAAAAGCACTATAATACCTTTGCAAAAATGTGACAACTCTCAGTTTCAAGATCCAAAGTACTCCAGAGTACTGCAGAGTTTGGACTAACCCATGCCAATCTTCTACGTTTCATGGTCAGCTGCTTTGCAATTCCAACACTTCGAAAATTGGAGGACTCTGATTTTCATGGCAAGGACGGAAAGGTTTGGAAGGATTCAAAAGGTGTTGTCAATCAACAAAGCTGCAGCTTTTAACCCAGCAACATGCAACAGGGCCCAAACCCAGACCCCGGAGCAAGGCCATAGACCCGTTCCAGCCTCGGAGAGCGAGCTTCAAAAAGGCGGTCTAGAATCTAGCATTATCTGAAAACAAGTCAAGGATGCTCAAAGTTAACATGTTGAGAACCAGTCCAATGCATGAAATGTTGAAATCATTACAGCAGTATTTCTCTAGGTACTGCTGATCATACTGGAATCATGCCATGATTCGTGCAACATGGCCTTCCTTTGGGTGCTTCCCACAGCAGATTGACAGGGTTTGGGATAGTTAAGTTAAGTTTCCCTAAAAATCTAGAAACCAATCATTAGTGCGAGCGCTTCTTCAAGGAAGCTTCCCCTGCTCTCAGGCGGGGGGAGCTTCCTTGAAGCGTGAGCTATCCTGCGTCCTAGGTAGTAGCTACTTAACCTACTAGCTACCTCTTCTACCAGCTTCCTCCTACCTCTGGCGGCCTACCCCCCCTTTAAAAATGTCAGTAGGACCATTGAAGGGGACCCATGACTGCGCTCCAAAGATCGACATGAGCGGCGAAAGCCGTCCAAACCAACCACTAAGCTTTTGGTCCTTTGGACGGAAAGTCAACCATCACTTGTTTGGAATTTCACACCCCTCAGGCTCCGTGCTCACGGCGCTCCTCAGCCCAGCGCCTCCTGGGCAAGCAAAGGTATGGTGTTTGGGGAGGTTTGGAGAGGCGAACGCAGAGTTCGATGCGGACTGTAAAAGTCATCGTGCTTCCTACTAATTGCTGCACGCCTTTGGAGCAGAAAGAAGGGCCAGCTTTCGCAGCTGTACCATCTCCTTTCAAAGATGAGATGCACCCGAAAGACCGATGGGCAAAACCTCCTGGGTAGCGCTGTGCTCCCCCCAAACGACCACCATTGGTCCAAGCATGTCGGTCGAAAATCTCCCGGGAGACTCTCGGCTCTCTGATTCTCAGCGTCCGACTGCATCTCTCGGCGTGCAGCCACCACCCGCTCGGCACAGATGGAGGCGCAGTAGGAGGCGGTCTTCTGAACCTCGAACATGAAGAGTGACAACTTGTAATAAGTGGTGGGACAAATCGATCTGTCTCAAAGTTAGGAAACCTCCCAACTAAATGCATTGCTTTTCATCATTTGCTCCTAGAACCAAGCGGTCTTTTGGTCTCCTTATTTTGAGACACGAACTGACAAGCCCGTTGTACCTCATTGGAATCGACTCGGTAGGGGGTTCTGCTTGCCGTTGAAATGCTAGAGGAATGGCCCAACTCTCTGAGGAAGGGCCCAACACTGCCTGTGCAAGGGTGTGTGTGTGTGTGTGCGCGCCGGGATTCTTGGAACTTGGAGCGCCGTGGAACTCTGGGATCCCATGCAGTTGCCAAAACGCCACAGTGTTGTGGGATGGAGAGTGCGATGGGAATTGCTGGGCACCACATACCAAGGAAGTCATTCAAAAACCGCTACCCAAACCCCCATTGCTTTGTAGAAAAGGTCTTTCGTGCATCCGCTTTGGGGCCTGGGTCAGCCATTGCCGGTGTCAGTAAGGAATCACATCGACATAGTTTGTTCATGTTTGACCATCCTGTGTGTTTTTGGAGTGTCACATTTCCTGAGCGCCCCGACTCCCTCCTGCATGAGTTGCATGATCTCCTCCCGCACGGAATCCATCAAACGGCTCACATCCAGCGCCAGATCCTGAAGGCTGAAGGCTCCACCCCTGAATGATTGGAACCTGGATCCAAATCCTTTGCAAAAGAAGAAAAAGTCAATTGAACATCCAAACCTTTGAGAGCATTTCTTGAGTCCTAGCCAAGCCGCCCCCTAGAGCATTGCAATCTTTTTACAAGGACAAAGAAATGAAACCATACAGCAACTCTTGACCAACGGGTTGCTGGGAAGGGGTTCTGGAGAAAAGCTCAACCCGCAAAGATCCAAGTGTCACTTGAAAAGCAATAATACTTGGTGTACTGGCTCGTTGTTCCCACTTCTCACCACCGGTGTTAGCCTCCATCAAGATCAATGGGTTTGCTTCAAAACTGGGAGACTCCGACTGCATGTTTCTTGCCCCGACCAAATGGTTTCTGGGCATTTCCTTACTACTAGGAGCAAGAAGCTACTAGGAGCAAAGGGCATCGCCACTAGGAGCAACAGGACGCTACTAGGGGCTCCTGGCCGTACTACTAGGAACAAGGACGCTACTAGGGGCCCAGGGTTTTCACATCGTCTGAGGTCACCACCGGCGGTGGATGGCTACTCATGCCCGCAAGCTGAACACGTGGACCTTGGCCTTCGAGATCACTGCGGATTTGGGCGACAAAGAAGAGACGATGAGAAGACTGAGCCTCTCCAAATAAATAGACCATTCCTGTACTGGTTTGCAAGACTTTTCACAATTCCATCACCCGGACTCAAGAAGGATGCAAGTCCTACAAAAACAAGCGCGCCAAATGGCCAGCTGTGGCTGGCCTTCCAGTTCCATGCACCTCCGTTACCCAACTCACCAACTCTGCCTCGCACCTGCGCCTCTCCTTCCGCGACCGCCACGGACCCACGTTCAAGGTCCAGGGCTTGAGCCAGCGCTTTTGAACCACCAGGAATAATGCTGAGACAAAGCCAGCGCTGTGGTCTGGATCAAACATCCATGGCACCCTCAACAAAAGACACATTGGTGGGTCTATAGTCTATAGTTCTAGGTTCTGGCTGGCAGAACAGAACCTAGTGGACTTCAAGTCGAGACTTTGCAGTCGAGACTGGCTCAGAACATGCCTCTCCAGCTGGATCATTCCAGTGTCCAGCAGCACGCCTAGGCCGGCACGTACCACACCTGCGTTTCTAAGGTGTCCCAGAACCGATTCAGGTACAGGCTGTACAGGTCAATGGTTTAACGGTTTAACTTGAAAGGAATCTTCCATGAGTGCTACAATAAACAGCTCTTGCCGGTCTTCCTCCTCTGATCCCCACAGCACGAAAAATGCTGCTCCGACCCTTGAGGCACGGGCTCTGGTGGCGGCATCCCACCTCACAGATCTGGCTTCCGTCACAACGTGGCAACATGGCAACTTGGACTTTCTCAAAAGGAAAATGTGTGTTTTTTCCAAGTGTTTTAAAACAAGTGTTTCGTGATCCACAAGCCTTTTCCATCCTGAACCGTTTTGCATCTTGACGCAGCAAAAATGCCGCTGGGTCCGGCCACGCAGGACAATTGGTGGGATGACTGGGTCGAGTCACTGGAGGCGCAACCCCCAACCAACTGGAAGAATAAGTGGCCAAAGGTGTGATCTTGGCACTTTCAGTCAGCACCACCAGAGGTGAACACGATGTGAAAACGTGCGGAAGAAAACATGGCACACGCTCAGCGAGTTTCTGTAAAAATTAATCCTGACGCATGGGGAAGAGGGAACTTCAACACCTCCCAGCTTGACCCTGCCTGGATGTTGTGAATAAGGCGCTGCCATCAGCTGCGCCTGATCCTCAAGTAGAAAAATGCATATTATTGAACATACCCAGGCACACCATGCCAAAAACGCAAGCCAACTGTGGTGATTGGATAAAGCGATCCCGTTTGCAGAAGGTTTATGATTTATGATACACTTGCCAAGCTTCGTCTGGGTATTGATCAGTAGAATAAAGACTTGGAGCACTTGCAAAAATGCAAAGCTGCTCGGTCCACAAGTGCTGGTAACAAACACTGCCAAAGCGGATCACATGTGGAGCAGCAGTGCTGAATGGCCATTCTTGGCCACGTGCCTCGATCAGAAGGCAGTGCAGGTGGCTGGGCCTGAGCGGTTGATAGGTGTGAGAGTTTAGCGTTTGTTGCAGCACAATTTTTTTAGATCCAAGGATGAATGTCCGCCATGTCCCTTTTAATGGCTACCGAGAAATTTAAAGGTCCCCAACCGGAGGCGGCCGCTGCACGCCAGACACGCCTGAATAGAGAAAGGAACGGCCGAGAAAACCGATCATGCTTGGAAATGGGTTTGAGACAACTGCCATCAACTCTAGACTATGAAGAGCTAATTCTGGCATGAACCATGGGTTCATCATGTTGCTGAATGATTTGCATTTGCATTGAAAAAATTGGCACAAATTATGCACCTCCCTTGGAACCTGAACGCAAGAAGCTTCAAAGAACGCTGCCCGGCTGGGTTTCTGGACCGGTCCGAGCTATCAAAGAGATGCAGTGGACCGGAAGCCAAAAAACATCCCACAGCATCAATAAACCTAACAAACAATTGAACCTGCAAAACTGTTTTACAACCTGACCTCACTTTGGAACCGACATAACCAGCGACGCAACACAATAAATCAATAGAATACGTTCCAAAGCAGACCTGGCTGCCAGCTGAATGGAAGTCAACAACCAGCTACGAAACACCAAGGACGTTTTAAGGATCGGGAAACGCACCAGGTCTCAAAGAAGGTTGGTTGGTCAACGCAGCATTTTGACAACATACAAAAAAATCAGCAGGTTTCCATCAAAAATTGAAAATACAAAGTTTCTCGAGGAACAAAAACAGTCCTCAATGCAAAGTCTGTGAGAGTTGGGCGGTGTTTACCATTCAGCACAATTTCGCAACATGGTGGAAATGTGCAATGACCTTTATGACAGCACAAAATAGGCGTCTCCCATCACAATTAAGAACGTTCAAATCCCTTAAGATCTTGAAGCCAGCTGACTTCAGCAAGGGAGGTGTTTGGGAGCCTCCCTGGTAGGCCTGGTAGGGTTTGGAGCCATTATAATTATTAGGTGATGTACATACACTTGGCAACTAATCAGTGATATACACAAATGAATGCTCAGCGCACACTCCAAAGATACTTCAGTCATTTCTTTTTCCCACCCACTGCTGTGATGAGCTGTAAGCGCTGTCAGCCATCGCAGTATGACCTCAGTGGCTCAGTGGCGATCATTGTCTTAGTGTGCTTTGTAGTCAAGTGCCAGTCAAGTGCTGCTCTTGTGTTTCGGGTTTGGTATCATATTCATCATAAAGACTAAAAAGCTAACTGCTGACTAAACCTGTCAAGACAATTGAAGTATTTAGTTGTACACTCACTCATGATAGACATAGTTCTTTTTGTCGTGAACCCTCTGCGCTGTCATATCACTGAATCATTCATCAGTGTCAGCATCATCCCTTTTTGGGTGTTGTTCATCGTGTACTGTGTACTTTCTTTCTCTCTCTAACTGGCTAGCCTCATTTCTGGCTATGCCATTAAAAGCTTGAAACCTATGCCTATGCCTATCACCGGTGATCCGGCTTCCGCAATTCTACGGGTCTAGTCTACCAATTACCAGCCTTCTATGGTCTGGTCTCTAGTGCAACTGCTAAGACACACCTTGCAAGCAATTCATTTGATAAACAAACAAATGAAATCTCGGAATCATCGGAATCACCATCCCGGCTCCCCATCCGGGATGGCTGGTACATATAGTTGCTTCACATTGATATGTTGAGTTGCTAACTAATAAACAAACAGTACAAGGCTCGCATTGGTGTGTTCGAGAGCCACATCACTTTACCAAGTGCGATGCTTCCTTCGGAGTCTTCAATGTCAAAGGCGACTGGGTTGCCATACCATCACGTAGCCCGGCACCGGCATGTTTTGCCAATAATGCAACAGCTCCACGAGACTTTCTGCACTGTTGGGCTGTGGCTGGTGTAAAGTCTGGGCAACGGGGTCCGGCAACACTTGAATCCAAATCCATGGTGAAATCATCAGCCTTCCTCTTCTTCGTAGTGGGCTTGAACTTCTCACCAGGCCTCATGGTTTTGATTGTGGGATATAGTTCAAATCAACAGTCCATGAGTCCATGAGAATAAGATATATTATATCTTCATAGGTTCATAGTTCATAGATGTTCATAGGTATATCAAATACTATGTTGTTGAAGTTGTTGAAAGGCCAACGGCCAACGTGATGCTTTCAACAGCTCTCATGGTTCTCCGGTTCTCATCAAGAAAAACAAAGGACAAAAAAAATATAAACAATACATTGTTATATGTAGAACAAGTGGCAACAGTCCACGCTTCAAGACAGCGTACATATTGCCCTGAATCTCCTTCATTGTAGTCAAAGCGCCTTTGGACACCTTTAGCAATGGCACTTCAACCTCCACCTGAATGGTTTCTCCTCTAATGCGGCAGCCAAAGGAGTGAGTCTCCACGTGGTACTCGAGCACTGCGCGGGAGGATTCATCAGGAATGCAACTGATCATCCATGCTGCACATGGATTGGGAACTGACAGCCCAGTCACGTGAGATCCATCCAAACCGAATCTCAAGCCATCTCCTCAGATCCGATCAATACATATATGTGTATGTTTTGTGTTTGGAGGTTCTGTGTTCTGATTATGTTTTAACAAAAAGATAACAGTAATATGTTTAAACAACAAAAAAACATATGATTAATTAGTATGAAGTATGAAAAGCATGATGGACTAATGTACTAATGGACTAATTGACTATATGATACAAAAGCTTTCAATCTAATGATAATCATAATCATAATAGTTCTAAGGCTCTAAGGATGTAATGTGATGTACTTGCCAGTGTTTGGCTTGATATGTTTGATTGTCATTGGAAGTACAATAGTCTATGAGTCTATGATTATGATGTCTAACTATTTCAGGTTGATAGTTAATAGTCTAGGTGGCCCAACTGACAGACTAGATTAGCAAGTAGTATTGCAAAACATATGCTAAACAAACAACAAGTCTCCAAGCTCACGTGACTCAGCTGCGTGCATATCTTTTTTTCACTGTCACCACTGCCATCGTTCGATTTGTTCTGCTGTGCTGATCTCCTCAAACACAATGGCAGGGAAGTCACTGGTTTTGATGGCCCTCGCTGCACAGCGGAAGCAGTACCACCACGTGTTGCACGCGTGTCAACAGCCTCTGCAATGTAGTCGCCTTTGGATTTGGTTGGAGAACAACTCTAATCCAGGCTAATCCAGCACAGTCCAGTACAATTAAGTTTTCACCATCCGTATTAGTATTAGTATTACTATATTCAGGCTTCAGGTGTTGTTTTGTAGTAAGAGTCTTGTAGTAAGTATGATCTCATGTTTGGTTAGGACGTTGTACGCTGTACAGTACAGTTACAGTCACAATAGGTAACAACACCAACCAAAACATTTAAACTGTAAAATCTGTAAAGTCAAAGGCACCAATGGAACCAGTGAAGTAAAGCTTCAGGTCTTCTGGCAACCTGTAAAGCCTCTTGCATGGCATGGCGGCAAAGTGTAAGATAGATCCTTCTTCCTTGTGGACATCAACATGTAGAAGGACTTCACCATCGCTGGCACCTTTCTTTTGCCCACTGCGAGCACCTGAACTTGACTCTGGCTCATCCATCAAGTGCAACACCAGACGGTCATGCCACGAAGCTTCAGAAGCCAGAGCCACATCGATGACAAAAGCCTCAACTTGAAGCTCGATTGAACGGAGTTGATCAGCTGTCAAGCCTTCACATTCAGAAAAGCCAAAGTTCAGGAGAGACTTCCAACTGAAGACAGATGGTTTTGTCACATCATCATCTTCTTCACCAGGTTGTTGGGCTCCTCCGCCTGAACCACTCACTTTCAGTCCATGCTTCTCCGCTTGACCTGTGACGGGTGCGACATCACAGCATCGCAGAACACAGCTCACATCGACCTTCTCGTTCACCAACAAGTCCTTGATCGCTGCATGCCATGCTGCCGTCAAAGCTTCATACGACAAAAGGCATGAATCCATCAAAGCCAGGCTTTCTAGGATGTCTGACTTGCTAAATTGCTGAAATAGAGAAGCCAAACTCTTTGCAGATGGACTCACAATGGTGACCAAAAGTTGGATGATGTACATGGCACGGACCTGGAGCATCATTTGAGCTGACTTCACGTTCAATTTCAGCTTTGACATACAGTCTGGAGTGGCCCAGCCTGATCAAAATCAAACAAATAATCAAACTATTAATCATTCATGCACCTGCTATTAACCAACTATCCAACCAACCAACCTATTGGGTCTGGGTCTGTCAGTGAGTCAATATTAAACGAGTAGTTCAAACAAACTGACTTGAAAAAATATTCAAAACATATGTTCAGTGTTCAGTCAGAACAGTCCACAATCAATCAATCAATCAATCAATCAATCAAAATTGTCAAATGTCAAAGCAAAAAAACTATTGAATGAATGATGTATGATGTATATGTATGTAAATATTCACTCAAACACTGTGTGGGTGTGAGTTCATTTCAATAATATATGTTTGCATCACAAGCTACAGCCTATGCTCCGGCCTCGCTGTGTCTCATCAAAGAAAAGGTTTGCAAAGCACATGAACTTGTCTCCAAAGACGGTGTGCACCTGGCGGAGGATCTCATAGAGGATATCGGCCACCTGTGGCTGTTCACAGTGCAGGAGACACAATGGCTGCCCTTCATCAGCGTCAGGCTTGTCATCAGTGGCAGTGGCATCTGAAGTGGCATTGCACGTGCATGCAGCGTTGAGAACACCTGCTTTGATCTTACCAAAGGTTGCATGACTGATGACGATCAAGCACTTGTCAGACTGAGCTGTGTCAGGCTGTTCAGCAGCCATCCACTGACACACTTCATCACTCCATTTTTCAAGCTTGTCCTGGGCAGTGGTTGTGCTGTCCACATAGAGGCTCTCATTGTAATTGGAAACTGCTGCTTCCAATTTCTGCAAGCCGGATGTAGCTCCGCCCGATGCATCTTGCTTCATGGCTTCATCAACTTTTCCTTTGATGACCTGATATGAGACAGGCACAGGTCCCAGTGAGTCGAGCACTCAATGGTTAGATTAATATGGTGAAACATATATATATGTAATGTGTAATGTTGAATTGTTCAAACTCAAGTCTAAACCCACCGACCGACTGTGAATAAATATATTGAAATATATTTAACCCATGATCTGACCTCAGAGCCATATCTTATGTTATCAGTTCCAACAGGTAAACAGGTAAACCTAACATAGTCTAAAAAACATTATATGACTGTGAACTATATATTGTTGTTGCAGAAATATGAGCCAGGCCTGAATGAGCAAAAGCAATCCATGCTCCTTGAGTGCTGGCCGGAGTGTAGACCATTTTTTATGTGTCTTTGTGCCTTTGGCTGATTCCAAAACTATGGAGCCCTTCATAGCAAAGAGTAAACCTGTGCGCAGCAAAGTAGACTTCAGCATGTTGATATGCTCTGCATCAATGCCTGCACTCATGACCTTGACGCTTGATGCCACATGGTTCACACATGCCAAAAGGTCGTCCAACCAAAGCTTCTGACGGACTCCAACAGCACACGACACAATGGGGTTGGATACGTCTTCCTCTTTTGGCAAGTTGGGTACTTGAACACCGTGAGCAGTGCCTGAAGCTCCGTTGCCAGCGTTGGACTTTGCCTTGGCCGTCGCCTTTGATTTGGATTTGGCTTTGGCCTTTGCTTTGCCTGCAGCTCGTGATTTCTTCTGATCTCCAGCTGTGACAACGCTGCCACACATGGTGGTAAGCAAGCGGCTGATCATGGTCTTCTTGGCCACTGTGTCGATCACCCAATTCGATTCAGAGTTTTCCTCCAGCAGTGGTACCTGAAAGTTCAATCTAGATGTCAAAGTGTGTTTTACATGTGTTATAATTGTTGAGTATTGATCAATGACACAATGACTATCAATATCAATGACAATAATTGTAAGTCATTTGTATAAACCCCTCAACACTAATCATTGTTCTGAAAAAGTGATTTCTGATTCCTTAATATTCATAATTATCATATAGCACAAAGTTGAATCTGTGTGTGACTAACATTGACAAATGTTAGAAACAATAACCAACCATTACTTATTGTAATAGATGAGTGTGTTCTTGAAAACCTAGAGCCTAGATACCAGAAACCCTAGTCATTTGTTCATTCATCAATTCATCACTACAGATGTCAAGAGGTTTGAGTAATGCTGCCACAATACACATAATTTGATGATCTCCAGCAGCAGAATACGCATATCTGCAGCTTCAACTCCATCAAACAATGCAATGGTCACTGTGTTGACTGCATGCAGCATACATTGCAGGACTGAGCTGTTGCAAAGCTTGGGATTCAAGAAGTCGACTGTCTCTCCCAGCTTCTGGATGACACCTTCAGCGCCAGACAACATTTGCCACTTCTTCTCGAAGACATTGTAACATCCCCGCGCTGACTCGTAGAGAGTCCATGATGAAAAGGTCTCACCAAATTCAGGATGTGTCTTGATGAACTCTGCACCTGAGTTGATGTGAGGGATTAAGAAAAACAAAACAACCATGAGATGTCTTGCTGCATATGTTGTATGTCGCATGCCTGACAAATTATGTTTATGTTTACTCTGGCTAACGTCTAGAGTCTAGACCCTTCCAAATCCAAGATCACCTAAACTTAAAAGCAATATATAATATTGAATATGCTAATCACAATCAAAGCACATCGTGTCTCATAGTCCTTCTGCGCCCACTTGATGCCAGTGTGCAATTTGTATGCTTGGAGGGCACTGTCGACCTCATGGTCCGATGTTGTGACAAACAACAGTGACAACAGGCAAAAGAATAATGGCTTAGGCTTAAAACCATTGTCATTGAACTATTCAACATTTTGAATAAAAAAAGTTTATGAATCTATGAATCTATGACTATCACCAACCAAGATGTTATGGTTTTGCTTTCAGCCAAACAACTAAACAACAACACAACATTAATTGTTTTTAAAAAAATATATATATATATTTAGACTGTATCAAACATAACGTATCCAAATAACATATGTAGATGATGATGATGATGATGGAGTGGTGGATGGGTAAGATATATGTGATTGTTCATAAGTCAAAGTCAAGGTGATGACTAGATCATTGACACATAATACAATAAATGCTGAGAGACATCTGGCACCATGGTCAGTAGCTCGCAGAAGGATGTAGAGGATCCTTGATGAAACCTGTTACGCAAATGGATAAGATACTTGGCAATTGCTGGTGGGATACGGTGGTGCAACACGCGGCACTCTAGGCCTTTGCTCAACGTGATCAGCAAGTTCTGGTTGCCCGGTTCTTCTTCAAGCGCTGCAAAAAAGGATTCCACCAGGCTTGCATAGCTAAGAGCTTCATAAGGTCCACTTCGCTCACCTGTCCTAGGACAAATGCCAGGCTCTGTCAACCAAGCTTCACCACGTACGCCTTCAACAATGCCTCGCAACTTGACTGACTGCTTGTAGCATTCACGAACACCGTTTTGCGCTCGGTTGTTGAGAGGATGCCTATAAATGTTCTTGGGCTGCCCTGCAAATCCTGACCTCCTGCCCGCTTGAGACGCAGCATTGTTGCTCTCTTGGTAGAACTTCACCCGGGTTTTCTCTGGCCCCACCTAACCAAAAGGCTCCAGTGATTGGTGATTGAACTAGTGATTAGATTAGTGCACAGTGACGTTGAAAGATTAGCATGGTCAGACAGACCAGAAACAAATCAATATCACCAGAGTTGAACAGAGTTGATAGATGATTGATGATAGATGATTGATGATAGATGATGTTTATATCAAATGTTCAATAGTCTGATGATATAATGATATAGACCATATGACCATATGATGCGAGCCATTAGTATTAGCAAAGTTACACATGTTTTTGAACAACACAATAACTCACGTCACATCAATGCTGATCACTGGTCAATGAGTCAGTGGTCAAACGGATGCCATGATGTGTAGAGGTGTAGGGTGGGTTTTAAGTTGTATCTTCAACCACATTGTATCCCCGAATCCCCGCCTGATAGGTCGTCCAGATCGCCTCGAGCAAAATGCGACCCTTCAGATCACCAAATATGTCAGAGACACTTGCATCGCTCCGGTATATGTCCACACCTTCTTTGGCAGTGGGTCTTGCTGTCGGTGGTGTTGCAGACATAGCTCAAAGCTGCAAAGCCCAAAGCCAAGTGGAGTGAGCAAGCTGTCTGTGACACAGAGTAGGCACGGGCTGCAGGTTTTGATCTCAAATGAGATACTGGGACGGCCGAGAGAAGTCAAAGTCAAACAGACATGATGGAAATGACAATCATATGCCAACATCTCAAGTTTCCAGTTTGTGTTATATCAAATAATATGAATTACAAATCAATATAATGATATATAAGCTCACACACGTTCACAAGACTCAGACTCACAAGCTCTTGAAACATAGAATGCAAAAGCAAAGTTAAAGTCAAGCCAACTGAAGCAAAACACAAGTTGCAGGAACTCTGCGTATTACATCAACAAAGCTAATCTTAGTCGCGTGGTTTGTTCAAATCGGTGACTGGGACCAACATCTGTCTTTCTAGCTTGGCCTCTGACCCATGACATCTTTTTGATGTCGATGGATGGCGGCGGCAGGCTAGCTGGAACCCCGTCAACTAGCATTGCCTTGGCGATGTGGCGCGAGTGGCTTTACCAATTTACCAACTTCATTGATTCATTGGTTTGGATTTGACTCGTGATTTGTTGACTTAATTAATTTGAAGCACACATATCATATCAAGTAGCAACAACTCAACAACATCAGACGTGTCTAGTCTCTAGTCTTGTATTGGTTAAGAGTCAACTGTGCACTGAGACAAACCCATGCATTCATACATTGCCTTTAGCCTTTAGCCTAAAGCCTAAAGACCTAAAGATTCAAGTTGCTTGACTGGTGTGATCTTGATGCGATGTTATGTTTTGATTCGTTGTGAATATGTTAAGCAACGCACAAGAAACATATTTTGCCCCATGGAACGGGCTGTCAAAGTCTTTGCTGTTCGGGCGGTTCAAACATACTGTACACATCACATCAGCCTGCGTGTCACATCAGCTACATATGAATATGTAATTGTGTACTTGGCTTGTACTGATAATTGCAAACTAAAAGCCGATGTGATTTCAGTTCTCAATCCTAAGCAATTCTGACATTATGCAATCACGTGATCATGCAATGCATTCCTACATCAAGCCACCTCATGTTCCCCTCATGCCAACCTCAAGCGTTTTGGTCCATTGGTTGCACGGTTGCCCGTGTCAGGATGTGCTCTCTTGTGATCATCACGTGTGCTCAACTTCAGTGAGCGCTGGATGTTGAACTTCTGCAAGGACACCATGTTGCTATCGATGATCGCTTGAGTCAGCACAAACATAAAGATCACCCCAGAGCATGCCACATGCATGGAATTGCCAGCCATGTGCCGCATTGCATTGCGCGAGGGCCATGTGTCCGGAGCTTCCCCCCAGCGAAGTTTGGCAAATCTCAACGCAAAAGAACTGCATGGATGTCCGTGGGTGTATTCTGTCGATATTGGAAATCCCTGTACAGTCAATTGTTCAAGGTGTGTCATCCAACGGCGGTGGACATGGCTCATCAGAAAGTTGGTCGATGCAGTCAGGGTCATCAGGTTCTACCAGGGTAGTTCATTGCAAAACAAAACACAGCAACTTGAAACATGTTTGAACATTAAACACATAAAAAAAAAGAATGTAAATTTTATAAATGTATTGTTATGTTTGTTTTATGATGAACAACTAATAGTCCAAACAAATAAAAGCAACTATTGTGGCTATTGTGAATTACAATAAAACATCTATGTTGAAATTGAGATTGATTGATTACCTGATCCTTGGATCCGGTCTTTACAATATTTATTTGTTTCTGGATTGGACTGCGACTTGCATTGACCTATAACTTGAAAACATCGGGTTGAAACCGCAGCCCGTCCCCCATCCTGATCTTTGGCATAAGTTGGCCGACCGGTTGGCGACTGTGTCAAAGAGTACACTGTATTGGGAAAGTTCTCAATGTAGCCATTGTAGCAGTCCAGTTCCCACTGGGTCAAGCAAGCCTCAAAGGCATCCTCATCAAATACCGAAGGAGACTTCTTCTGGGCGGCGGCGGCATTGGGATCCCAAAGGCTACCCTGTCGTGCGCAAGCCCAGTTCAATTCATCTTGCAGTGCGGCGGGGCTCTTCCTGAAGCCAGCGACATTGTTACCATATACACAGATAGTTGAGTTAAATTTATGTTATGATATGTTAATGATTTACTTATCACTGTATCACTTTCCCTTTCCAATATGGAATTTTAATTAATCAATAAGACCACTATCAAAGATTAGATAATGATGATCATGATCATGAATCATATGTATTGTATTGTCTAAGAAAAAATACTAATCAATATCCAGCAAAACAGTTGTTGACATATCAAACAAAGCCAAACCACTCCCAATAGAAGATTTTCCAATCACAATCTGCATGAAGTTGACGATAAAATAGCTTGGTGAACACGTTGAGAGGGCTGCGCCAACCAAGCGTTTTGGTCTTGCGCCGGCCCCTTAGGCAAAGCAGAGCATGGTTGCTGGCGGCAACGATGGCAGCCACTATGACTATCACATCACTACCAGAACAATGGTTGACGCCTCAAATGATTTAAAGTTAGTCCGTGTGCCAGTGCATCAATATATTAAAACCTAAAGATTGCTAGAACAAAGTCCTAGTGACACTAGCCACTGCCGAGCTCGACGAACTGGCCAGCCAAAAGTGTGAGGGCTTATGACTTCCGCCATCCAATCATACATTGGCAAAAGAGACACCATGACCTCTCTGGGAAAGGTAGGTGTGCACTCCTGAAACACCAATGGCTCTTGACACTGAATGCGCAACCCAGCCCGTGCTAGGAAGTGTGCGCAGCTCATTGCTTCCTCACCATCCATATGCCCCATGGAGCTGTAAGCAGTACATGGAGTACCCGCAATATGTACCATTGCAATGTTGTCCTTGATGTTGCAATCCTTCAAACACTTCTTGCACCAGCAACTCCTAAGTTAAATGTGTTGTGTGTTCACGGTTGACGTTGTTCAATTTTGATATATATATATATATATTTATCAAATTAAATAAACTTGTTGAATCATTAATAAACCAAAACCAGTGGACCATATCATATTCTCTATTGTGTATGACTGTAGTATGATTCATATTCATATCAAACAAAAAACATAAACAAAAATGCACTAGGCATAAAACAAAGGTTCGGTTGAACTGCCACTCCACTGGAAACCAACGGCATCAGCTTTGTTTCCAGCTGACCCTTAGATCGAAATTCATCCAGCTTCACCTGAATGGCTGGAACGAAGAACTGCGAGATATCTCCAAACATACACGCCGGAGGATGAGGATGTACAATGCATTCGTGAGATGCATCAGCGTTCCACTCCTTAACAAGTTCACATGATCGCATAATCAGCAATCAACACAAAGCACAAACTTAAGAATCAAACCAAAAAAATGGTTGAAGGTGTGCTAGTCAGTCGACTAGTAGACTCATAACAATTTAGCCTAGTAAGCCTGGTGTCGATGGCGTGTGTATGAGCAGGATGAAAGGCTCCTTCGCGTGGTTTTCCCAAAGCTGCATCAACAGCAACACGGAGCTGTGCAAACGATGTGCCTGGGCAATCAATGCCTGAAAATGCAGTGGAGTATGACATTACATCCATACGAAGTCTAAGCTGTGTGAGCTGATGCAAGACTATGTCATCGGTCTCAGTCTCAGCCCGCTCCCAGTCATCATCATCCACAACCACATGCTCATCTTTTGAGATCTGCAGTTCTGGCGGCAATGCGGTGAAGACTTTCACATAATCATCAGGCCATCCTCAAAACCATGCAACCAACACTCAACACAGCCACTGCACAGCAAACTATTCTAAAATCACAACCAATTATAACATATTTATAAAACAAAAAATCATTAAAAAAAACAATAAACAACATTGATTTATCACTTCAGTGATCTGTTGGCGTCTGCAAAGTTTGTGACAACCACCTCAGGTTGTGAGCCATGATGAACATCAATGTCCACACTCGCTGATTCATTTGCAGGCACATCCATGGCCGGGTCGAGCTGAGATGACCTTACTTAGTCATGATTGGTATCATGTTTGTTGATGTTAATATATGCAATCATTACAAAAGAAAACAACCAACACACAGCTAAAAGTTATCAAATAAATATAAACAAGTAACCCAAGAGCAGCAATATGATTGAGTATATCATCATCAAACGTATGTGCTTCGCTTGGCTGCTGCTGTGGCTGTTGTGTATGTTGAGTTGGTTGGTGTGCCAGTGATATGTCTTGTTGGACTTGTTGGTTTGGTATTGGTTCTTCTGTGTGTACTGGTGATTGCTCCTCATGTAGTTGTTGTATTGATGTTGTTGCTTCTGATGTGGTTTGTATGTGTGTAGTACTAGCTGCCTCATCGTGTTTGTTGTTGCTGATGTCGGTGGCGTCTTCTTCAGTGGCAGTGGATGAGCGGAGCCCAACATCATGTGCATTCATAGGTTCTAGTTCTGGTGGTTCTTCTAGTGGTTCCTGAAGCACTACTGGCTGGACAGATTGTGCATTTGATTCATGTGATGTGGTTTGGTCGTCAGGCTTTGTTGGTGTAGCTGTGGGGTGGTGTGCTTTGACTTGCTCTGTGAGGTTCTCATCAGTTGACATAGGTTGTTCAGGCTGTGTAGGTGAAGATCTGTTGGTGTCGTTGTTCTCCAATACTGGCTCTGGCTCAGGTGCTGCCGGTGTTGGTGTATCGGATGATGAACAAGTTATGTTGTTTGTTTTTTCTGATGTGTTAATTGCTTTGTCAGCAACATTGGCGCCTCTCTGCGGTTCATCAGTCTCATTCGCAGTAGTAGTCTCAGCCTGACACAGTCTGACACAGTGGCACAACATATGTGATATATAGTTATCTAAACAAACACATATATCATAAACATAACATAAACATAAGGACAAACAATATTAAGAAAAGAAACTTGTTCATCATGATCAACATGAACATTGGTGTCGGCTGTTGCAGCTGATTCAGACACTCCAAAGAAGTTCTTGACATTGACAGCTGAAA